GCATGTAAATAAAAAAAAAAGTTGGAATCAGTTAATATAATATTTATACATTGATCCATTAAAAATTGAATTGTTTTACACGTATTTTATTGCTGCCATGTCTATTCCAGTCAAATTGAAATTGCATATATTTTAATTTTCTCACTTCTCAATGATAGGTTTGATTTATGTTGATAGTGTTATTATTATAATTATTAATTGAGTTATTGTTATTATTATCACTTCTATTATTATCATTATTTTTATTAATTTCGTTGTTATTATTATTATTATTTTATGCTGCTCTATTTGAAACTCAAATTGTCACATTGTGGCTTTGTCTGTGTATGTTTGCTTCTGTATCTTATTCATGCTAACTGTGTAATTAATATAGAGTATCATTTTTGTATTTTGTTTTTTAATTGTTTTTGTGTATATCTCTATTCGTGCTAGCTTTGTAATTGGCCTCTGTGCTGTTAAGTTTGCACGTAAATAAACATGAATTGAATTTAAATATTTATTCGCATGTCTCCTAGTGACCAGACCGGAAACAGAAGTGGGGGAACTTAAAATGCGATATATTTCCTGTTTTATATTTACGAGTTATATTTCTGATTTTATGTGAAGTATGAATGTTCTATTTAATGTAATAGAAACCTGAATTTAATCAGAATTTGTAATCTCTTGTTGTTGTTGTTATCACAGAAGTACCGACTTGAGTCACAAGAAGCCTTCCATCTTCTGGCAGTGTTAAATCCTCAAATACATGAAATTAGTGTGGACCATTATGTGGCAACTCTGGGTTTTCATAGCACTTGGGGATTCCTTTCTTAGCTACGCATGAATACCCGAAGCTAAATTTAAATTATACCTTGCAAAATAATTTGAAAATCCCGATTTGCTACTTGAAACATATGCACGACTGTAAGTAGGATTTCTCTTCTGTCTTATTTCGTTTGAGTAAGGCTATAAATTAGATAGTTCTCAAATATTTCTGTAACAGGTTGGAGAAAATAAACATTCGTGTTAGTTTTAATATTTCCTCCGTGTAAGTGCTCTGAAAATAATTTTTCTACTGTGTATTTTAAAAACCCTATGACTAAAATTGTAATTGTATTAATTTCTCTTCTATTATTACATGTACAGCCCTTTGTTGGATCTTGGCCACTTTTTCAGTTTCTTGATCCTATACACTGTCGTTAGGACTAGTGGGAAGGGGGATCAGCCGTTGCAAGGCTCATAGGACAGCACAAATACATAATAAAAGCACACAGATGTCCATGCCTTGAGTGGGATTCGAACCCACGATGCCAGCATTCAAGCGACCGAGGACAGTTAACGCCTTAAACCCCTCGGCAACTGTAATCAGCATAAGATACCACTATGTAATTTAAATTTCTCACCATATGATGATTTACATGTGATATGGAGGAATTGATGCTTAAAATGTTTCCTATCCCTATAAGTTAGTTTTAAGTTTAGCCTTTAATTTTCGAACCAAATATTGTTTGATATTTTGACAAACGATTTTAACCAGTGATGCTGAGCATATGAGTATTTTGAACAAATGAAGTCATATATGGACGATGGGGATCACATTGAAAATAACCATTAATTCTGAGTATTTTTTATCAAATAACAATTTAGTTTTAAGTAAGGTGAAAATTCATAAGCGAAATTCATATGGGAAATCAAATCGATTTTACTCCTTCATATGCGTATATATATATAATATATCATATTTATATCATATATTGATTCATCAGTACAAAAGCGAGAGGTAGAACCCTGGTACAATAAAAGACTCCTTCCACTGATCAGACAATTTTTCCTTATGCCAAATAGAATTAATTAGATTTTGGATCTTAGAATGTAATATTTCACCTCCTGCTTGAATAAGTTCTGCCGGATACAAAACTATAATTTTGCCTGTTGTTCTGAATGGGTGTGAAAATTGGTCTCTGACGTTAAGAAAGGAACATAGACTGAGGGTGTTTAAGAACAGCGTGTTCAGGAGAATATTTGGACCTAAGAAAGATGAAGTGACAGGAGGTTGGAGAAAACTGCATGATGATGAGCTTCATAACTTGTACTCTTCTCCAATTAGAATGATAAAGTCAAGGAGGATAATGTGTGCAGGGCATGTAGCACGAATGGGGGAGACGAGGAATGCGTATAGGATATTGGTGGGAAAGCCGGAAGGAAAGAGACCACTGAGAAGACCAAGGCGTAGGTGGGTGGACAATATTAAAATGGATCTTAGAGAGATAGGATGGGATGGTATTGATTGGATTGATCTGACTCAGGATAGGGACCGGTTGAGGGCCCTTGTGAACATGGTAATGAACCTTCGGGTTCCATAAAATGCTGGGAAATTCTTGAGTAGCTGCAGAATTGGCGGCTCCTCCAGAAGGACTCAGCTCCATGAGTAAATAAGAACCCTGGAAGACGAGTAGTAAGAGAACAGTTAATACTGGGCATTCATTTTGTCATTACAGGTACATTCATGACCTTGACAAGTGAGGAAGGAAGTTAAAGAATAAATCGTATTTCAGTGCAATATCCACATGGACATTCCGTGCGCAACGCACTCATCTACCGGGATTTATTGTAATATGAAGTTAATTCTTCTCTTCCCGCAGTCTTCCTCTACTTTTCCACAAAGATCCGAGAAAACAGAACGAAGCCCTTAATCCAATAGGCAGTGAATTAAGCTTACACCTCTCCCGCGACTGCATCCGTTCTGCGGTGGTATGACTCACGGCAAATTGCAGCCGCGGCGCGCACTTGATTGTACGCACTGTATATTTTCATTGCAACAGAGAAATGATCAGCAACACTTCATATTTTAAAAGTCCCACTTTATTCTAAGACTAATAGGGTACCTGTGAAACTGTGAAAAGCGGTGTTCACTGACCAGACAGAGCTAAACACGCAGTTGTAGCTCATATGCAAACTGAGACTGCCAGTTCAGCACCAATCTACCGCATAGTTACTTGCTCGTGTTTTCTGTACTCTGTTTTGTATTGACAAAGGTCTTGAATTACATTCAACTTTCGAAAACTTTCTGAAACATAATACACCACAACTGCACATGCTGCGAAAATAGGAGAAAGACGTGTCAAAAAAAAAATTCAGCAGTTTGTACTACTGGGTAAGTCATGTCTAACAGTAACCGCACCGTTTATAGGAAATGAAGCTGACATTGATTACGTGACCACTGAAAGAGTGGGAAATTCAAAACTACGTTGATACCCTAGTTCTCTGATCGTCACCTGCGGTGTTGAGTAATTAACTGTGTTGTCTTCTTATATTCACATCTAATGAATACGTTAAAATCATGACGCATTTTTTCCTTTAAATGTTTCCATTATTATGCAGATTGTATCAAATTACAATGTGTTTATATGACTTAATTGCTAAATTCTTTAGTCCTATATAATTACTTAGCAGAGATTCTCGTGATCTGAAGATTGTTACAGTCCCCAGCCCACTAAACTGAGGCCTGTTTGAGAAACCGCCAACCACTCGGATCGTCAAACGTGTTCGGGACAGCCGAAAACTTTATCCTGACCTGAGAATCCACTACATCTCTTCACAATTTATTTCATTATGATTCGGCTTAAAATTCCACCCATCTCCACCTGGGTCTCCCGAGTATTCTCGTCTCGTCAGGAGTTAGGAATTAAGTTGTGTGTGAAGAATTCTGTCTCCTGGGATATCAGTTAGCGCCGTGTAGTTCTTTGAAAATCAGTGGATGTTTCGGAGAAATGTGTCATATCTATATTCTTGCTGCTTTCTTGCTTGCTTCCTTGCTTTCCTACCTTGAAGATGTAGACATGTTCCACTGAAACGTCAGCTGACCTTCAAGGGGCTGATATATCCCAGAAGATAGAAGTCTTCATACCCACCGCTGTAAGAGCCTCAAATCCTACAAAGTTCCGTGCGCATTTCGCCTTTTCCATTCTAGCTGCGTGATTAACAAAAAATTTTTGGACATCATCTCGTCATATTTGCAAGTTAATAATGGAGAATGATTGCCTGAGATTTGTAGGAAAATTCACTATTTATTCTGTACCAACTTTTGTGTCCTCTGCCGCAGTGATCCAATTATTACCACTGAGAAATCGAACAGTAAGAAGAGATTTTCTGCACTTCAAGGGTTATTATTATCCCACATTTATCAAAAAAGAAGCACAGGGTGTCCGGATGAAAGGTATCCAAAATAAAATTATTATATTTCAGAAAGAATTTATTATACATATTAATGGTTTACACCATTACAAAGGGGAACTATTCTGCGTAGATAATGTTCTAAATAAATTTAAATTTGGGCTCTCTTAGTGGCATGACAAATATCCAGGCTTCAAGCATGTTTGGTGTTATCGTAGCCACAGCGTCCTTTATTCGAGCTTTCAGGTGTTCAAGGTTGTTGATCTTAACCTGGTAGACAATGTTCTTCACATAACCCCACAAGAAAAATCGGCTGTGGTTAGACCTGACGACCTAAGAGGTCAAGCGATTGGTCCACCTCTGCCAATTCACATCCCAGCTATCTCCTGTCAGGTGATTCCTAACATGGCAAAAATGTGGCGGCGTATGCGCTTAAGCCGGGTATGAAAAAGAAATCTTGCAGCGTTTTCCTTTCCGATGACAAACCGGATACGTGTATGACAATTAGTTTCCATGATAGAAATTTCTTGTTTTGGGTACCTTTCATCCGGACAACATTTACATTAGTGTCACACTACTCAAAGGAGTACACAAACAGTTAGTCCTAAACCCAGTGGTAGTAATATTTCTCTCAACCTTGGAAGTTTGCATGAAGGCCATGTTGGTGTTATTAACGAGCTGTTACGACTGTTGGAGCGTGGACGCTCCCAGTCACATCACGTCCTTGTTAACTTTCATATAAGTTAACTGACGATTAAAGAGTTATTACTTGGGATGGACATGCACAGGGACACGATGCCATCATGAATCTAAGTTTCCCTTGACAACACTGTTTCTTTTCATTGCAGCCAATCCTCAGACCCAGCCGGAGAACTGTCCCAGTAGCAGTTCCGGAGCGAGAGGAGGTATCAGCTCGGTGTCCAGGATGCTGATGAGTGTGCTAATCACACCCATGGCCTCGTGTTTGACCCTGAAGGTCATTATACTGTTGGGACAACGAGGATTGGTGTAGTACAAACTGTGCAGGACATGAGCTGCATGCAGCTAACCTGCAGAGACAGATGGAGCCAGAAGGAAGCTTCGGAGACAGACAAGAAGCGGTCAGAACATCGCGTATTGTCTTCTAGAGAATAGTGCGTGACTCCTAGGATGCTTTAGTTAACGATATATTGGTTTACCGTTTGATCGTTATTTTTAAAATAATAAAGGTATGTAAATAATTATAAGAAAATGCCGCATCTCTCTAAATTTTATTCAGAATGAAGATGGCTAGGTGCGCATGTTGGTATAGGTTACGTCAGAATGCGAGTAGATCCTGCCTCCCCACTAGTAATCGCTTTTCGCTACTAAAGGCTAAAGTACTTGCATATTAACCTAGAATCCATCATAAAACTGTGGAGCAGGAAGTGCGCACTGAAGCCGAAGAATAAGCATATATTTGTCTGCAGATTTAGAAACATAATATGATCACAAGACAAAAATCAACATTCAGATTTCTGGCTCATATCTATACGATCAGTAATGTAATTAATCCCATAAGCGGCACATATAACCCTAAAACTGTCTTGTACACTCACTACGAAATACTGAATACTATTTTTTTTTCGCTCAGTATATTAAAAGTATGCCTGTTGGTGAAAATTAAAATGAAGTAAATCGAAAAAAAAAGATGCGAAAAATTACGTGGTACTGTAATACTAGAAACGCATGCAGTGGTAGGAAACGTGCATATCGCACTTGAACGCACACTCGTCTCTGAACAAGAACGAATATAGAGACAGCTACTTCAGGCGTTAATCGGCTGCCGAAATGGGGTAAAATAGCATTCATGAATAGAAACAGAGCTTCTTTTTCTTCCTGTTCCAAATTCAGAGCCATCTATCACGCGGTCTACCCATATAACTATGATACTTCGGTTTGCATTTAAATGCAAGCTTCGGGAGACTTTGAGTTGACTGAACTTTCTCCCTCCATAATCTCCTCTTTTTTTTTTTCCTTGGCACTACAGCCCCAGTGGTCCTAGGCCTACCTCCATGAACTTCTCCGCCATAATCTCCTTGTATATTACGTGTATTTTACTGAACCTATGTTTAACTCGTATAATTCATTAACAAATATCCTTGATGACCATTTTCATGTATGTATAATCTTCTATTTCACTGTTTCCTGCATAAATGTTTAAGTATTCTATACATAAACAAGTGTTCTTGTCATTCTGTCAAGACAGGCCATTATGACATAGTCATTTTTATATGATTTTTCAACGGCGGTGACTATGAAGAATGCCGTCTTCTGGGATGTGGCGTCGTGTAAATATTATGTAACCCGACGTTTCGGAGGAACGTATCGCCCCATATTCAGGGTATAAAAATCCGCGAGCGAGGAACCAGCATTAGCAGGCGGTACGTTCCTCCAAAGCGTCGGTTTACACAATATCTACACGGCGCCACATCCCAGAAGACGGAATTCTTCATAAATTAAGTTATTTACAACTTTTCAAGTATATCTAAGAGAGCATCTTCTGACCAAAGAATGTGTAAATATCAGTTGCTGATAATCTTACTCCAATATGATCTAAATATAACTGTTCAAAATTTCTTCAGCTTGACGACATAACATCGTCACGATGAATTTATAAAGAGTATGACTCGTTTGGTTTGCAGTGGTTACATCTGAAACCCATTATTTCGAGTTGGTGTAAATTTATTTATACATTCTGAAAGTGGAGTCTGCAGGGAAGACGGTCATGAGCTTTAGATCTTTTTAATTGCTAGTGGGGTGGGACTGAGTCCCTTGTACCGCGGCCACTTCTGGCGTATTGCACCAGCCCCAGATGATAGGTGAGGGTGATTGTGGAGCAATTGGTGGAATGAAGATTGACAGAGGAAACCGAAGTACTCAGAGAAAACCTGCCCCAGCGCCACTTTGTCCACCACAAATCCCACTTCACCAGAGCTGGGATCGAACCCGGGCCGCCGCAATGGGAAGCCAGCGACTAACCGATCGAGCTATTGCGCGGCCATGCGCTTTAAATACTGACAGCTTGACTGACATTTATCGTGACAGCTTGAATACAAGAATGCATGGATAGCAGCCGATATCGCAAGGGGTGGCTAACTGAAATGAGCCTACGGTATATTTAAGGAAGTACACAAGATATTGGGACCCAGTTCCAGAAACCTTTAGAATAAAAACAAAGCCAGCTGTGTAGCCGTCGCTCTATAAAGTATATTTTTATTTTTATTTTGTACTAAATATCACATATACTGTACGTAACTCCGAGTTTTATAGCTTCTTTTCTTTTGGACGCGACATATTTACGTTAAATTCCAATGCATTTTTCTGATGTATTCAGACTTACTGCGCATACAGGGTAAGAAATAATATCTAGATTTTTATGGGGACGAGATGATGAATTTCTTAGTATTAAATTTGTTGTAGGAATGCCACACGGAAACCACCAACCAACTTTAACCTGTTTTATAAGAACTTACTGCCAGTATAGTCAGGACATTGTGGCCGTGTTATGCAATCCCCCAGAAATCCCATGATTTAGATATTACGTAACCGTATTAATGTAACCAGAAAAATACACTCACATAAAATGTTCTCTTTGTTTTATTTAAGAACAACTGAATTCATACCCGAAGCGTGAGCTGTAGAGTCTTTTTCAGATTTACTTTGCAGACGAGGTTTCTGCTGAGTTATTCGATAGATTGTGGGTCACTGAACCGTGAGTGCATTTCCGCCTTTTGCTCTGTGATACTGTAGCCTCTGTCCCTTGAGTCCATTCCCCTGACAAGATGTATATCTTGACTCATATAAATTAATTTGTTTAGTATTTAGTTGTTATTTTTTTATTGCTAGTGGGGTGGGACTAGGTCCCTTGTACTACGGCCACTTCTGGCCTATTGTACCAGCCCCAGATGACAGGTGAGGGTGATTGTGGAGCAATTGGTGGAATGAAGATTGTCAGGGGAAACCGAAGTAATCGGAGAAAACCTGCCCAAGCGCCACTTTGACCACCACAAATCCCACTTGAGCAGACCCGGAATCGAACGCGGGCCGCCGCGATGGAAATCCACCGACTAACCGCTTAAGATATGGCGCGGCCTATTATTTAGTTAAGTTGTCAATATTATTTTTACTATATTGCAACTGCTCCGGTTTTATACTGTTTTAACGCAGCTGTTCAAACAGTTTATTAAATCGTGATACATAAATTGCAGTTTCACCGTGATACAGTCGACAAATATTCCACGGAACGAGGCGTTAGTAACAGTCATATCCATTTATAACACATTTAGTTTTCTAGCCTAAAATCCTTATATTTTCTTGCAAATTAATAAAATATTTTCTGAATCCTGTAGTTTTATGTTTCATTTTCTGCAGGTCTCTTTCTCGTTATATCTATATTTTAGTGAAAAAGTTTACCATACCGCAATAGGCACTTTAGTGAATCACAAGAAATAATCCTAGAATCACAGTTGAATCGTAAACACTCAGAAATCAACTTCACTCATTATATAACATTTGCAGAATAAATAACCTCTACGTAATTTTGTAAATACGTATATGTTATCCTGGAGATATCTCGAGGTGAATTAAATTAACCAATAGTAGTTGAAGGCCATCTACTCCCATTGCCCAGAAACCGTGGTCGCCGAAATAATTATCTCAAAATAATTCCCTAAAATAAAATTTTTGCATAACAGCTTTTAAATTTCCCATCTCCTTGGGGACTTTCCATCCCCGAAAATATAGCACACGTGTCCTCCAAAATTTTTATCCTGTATTTACTGTACGTATTTTCAGTCTTTTTAGACTCCCATATTTATTATGCAATCTGAGTTAATACATTTAGCATAATGATGTGAAAAGGAAAGAAAAAGAACGTGTAGAATACCGCTCATTAGCGGTGCTCCTTGTGCAGTAGATAAAGTCTGGTATGATTTGTGGGAGAATACTTACAAACTAGGGACTTAAGATCTAAATAATAATACTACATTATACAAGAAATCTGTTTGGGAGATCATGTGGAAGATGTCTTCTCAGTCTGCGGAGAGGCGGGGGTGCAGAGAGTTGAGACACTTCTTGGTTAATGTGCATGTTGAGCCGTGATCTGTATTTCGAACTTAGTCGACTGATTTCTTCTTGAACTGTAGGTATTTGTAGATCGTGTCTGATGATGGCATTGGGGACATACCAAGGGGCGTCCGTTAGCAGACGCAGAGCTTTAGACTGAAATCGCTCAAAGATGGCAATGTTGGTGTTCGAAGCAGAGCCCCATAGTTGAATGCCATATGTCCACACAGGTTTGATGATGATTTTGTAAATGAGGAGCTTGTTGTTTAGAGTTAGTTTAGATCTTCGTCCAAGTAGCCAGTNGGGCAATCTGATCAAGTAACTGGAGGAGGGGTGGAAGGACGGTGACGTCACTGACAAAAATTGGGGGTGGTTTGTGGGTGACTTCAGTAGTTGGGGGTTGAGGCTTTTCTGAGGAAGTGCCAGATGATAGGGCTGAGAATTGGTTATGTGTTGGGATGGGATGAAGCCAATGGTGTTCTTCTTTTGGGAGCTTGGACTCACGTGTGGAATCCTCGTGGAGCTTGCGACTTCTTTTGGTTGAAATCTTGGACCAGGGGATGGGCCCCTGTGAGGAAGACGTATCCATTTCTATGTCCGTTGAATGAAATCCAGGAGATGCTGGTGAGCGATGGGTGCACCCGAGTCGATAAACGTGGACAGTTCCAGAATACAGGTGATGGGTATGAAGAAAATAATAAGTAAGCAACTAAGATTCACTATTAAACTCGTTGGTCAGGGTTGAGGTTGACTGTTTATGCCACAGTCCTCAAGCAAGTATACAGTAGTCAGATAACAAATGAGAGCGTGTTGATACTTTGTCTCACGCAAAATGGTTGTGTAATGAATAAAGGGCCTAAATCGGACCCCAGTGTAAAGCAGAATTTCTTAGTTTGAAATTAATATTATCTCTGACATTACAGATCATTCCAAGTAAATGTTATTCGTTTTAATTTCCTTCCCGAAGCTAAACCTGCCCTCCTTTATTCTATATTTGGTGTGTAGGGATAGCTCGACCACTGAATTCACCGGCTATAGATTGAATGACCAGAGTTCGATTTCATGCAGTCCAGGTGCTTTCCTCTATTGTGCAAAGTGCAGACCGGAACTAGGGCGTATAGCCTCCTGTCCAGTAGGTACCGGAGGCTATTTCATCGCAAGAACGTGAAGCTTGTCTGCATCTAGTTGAGAATAATGCATAGGGCTTAATTTCCACACATCTGTCCACGCTTTCATAGTGTTATGGTCAGACACAGCACGTCTCCGTAATTTTTAAGAAGTTGTTATTCACTTTATGGTTGCTGAAATCAAAATGCTTGATGTTACATAAAACGGATTCATATTTCTTACCGTTTATAGAAAATCGCAAGAATTTCATGTTGAAATTATCAGAAAATTGTTGTCGCATATATACTTGAAACGGAAGTAACATATATAAAAAGAAATGCAGTCTTTAAAATCCTTGCTTTGATCATAAACTTTGTACTTGGCAATTTAAGTAAAATAGAGCATACGATTAATCACAAGAAGTAACTCATGTTCCCTCGGCGGTGTGTTCAAGCATACATCCATGAATGCTTTTTGCTTCTACTTCGGAAGTGCTGCAATCGATACGTGTTCTCGCAACAGATCGAACAACACGAGATCAGTTTGAAGTTTACGGATTGCTTCGTGATCATCTCACTTAATTACCACACCCTAACAAATGAGCGTATAAGCAGTGATATGAAATATTATATAATGTAAGTGTAAAAATAACACACAAACTAATAATGTAGGAAAGAACTAAGAAATAAATTTCTAATTAAGTTTTATCGTTACGAACCAAAATTGCAAGAAATAATATTGAATGACTTTGAAACCTAAGGTTACGTTCTTTCGGAATATGACGCCGTCTAGTTCGGTAGGTAGGTGCACACATTTTAGAGGAACCTGCTGCTTCTATTTACAGCGTTATATTCCACAAGAAACTAATCTCAAACTCAAATCTCACATGACTTTGAAACTGATCTCAAAAATGAGATATTCAGACATCTTGCATATCTAAAAATAAATATAGAATTTTAAAATTATATAAGTATCTTCTCCTATATTGCCTTATCATAATTAGTTGATAATTTTTATAAAATATGTCTTCAGAACAATAAATAGCTAGTGCCTAATAATTTTCATACAAAATAAAACAGTTGCTAATTCCGAACAATACTACGCTTGGCTTTCAAAATGATTTTACAGTTTAGGCTATCTGAAAATCTTTGCCCTCGAAATATTTACATATAGGAAATAGTAAACATGTTTTGAAATCCTGCACACTTAAATAACATTTTACTTATATTCTGCATAGACTGTCCCTAAGGAGACTTGGCACATATCTCAGTATTTAACTACAAATTTACAAGAATATTGAAATGAAATATAAATTAACCAAAACATATCTATGAAGACGGTGCAAATATTTAAGGCCTACGTCCTTTCGACAGATATAATGTAAATCGTAGGTCATATATAAAAAAGTATAGGAAGGAATACAGTTATGAATTGACACTTAATTTAATTATCATCAATTTGAAACAGTTATTTTTAAAATGTCCTATTATAAATATTAAATAAAACGTGTAGATTTTTCAGCTAACAGAGCTGCAAGAATAAAATGCTGTAGAATTTTTAAACACAAGAATTTAATGTGATTTTAACAGACAATAGGATGCACATATCTCAAGATGAAACCATTTAGTAAAGAAACTGCACGTGCTCCAATATTGTGCAAATTTTTCCACAAATTATATGTTGTATAACGTGATTAGGAAATGTGTTCTGTATTAAGTAACTGAAAAGAACTAGTTTATAATGTGACTGAAAATGTATATTTACGTGTGTAACGAAAGACTGGTCCTGGTGCAGAGGTAAAAACGAATATGAGATTTTGGTATAAACATTAACTTGAAGGTACTGTTAAAACTGAACTAGGGCTAACGGAACATGAAGATTACTGTGGAAATATTAAATTTTAATGCTATAAGTCATGATTACAGTCATAGAAACTGTTTGTTTTGAGTGAAAACAACTGATATATATCAGGAAGAAAACGAATCAAGTGCTTCTAAACTGAACATATGTTTAGTTGTATATCAGTGTGTAGACAATTTTCATTGACAGATGCTCTAGCCAGTGCTTTATGTGTGGTTCTACTCAGCAGAAATACCTACGCCTTATACATATCACTAAGAAGGTAAGTTCTCTTTTCTCGTCTTGCAGATATCTCTAGTTGTAAGAATACTCCATCAGACTTTGTCATGGAAGCATCAGCTTTTCAGGCACGCAAGAATTAAACATATTTATATTTACGTAGGCGAGTCAAACGAAAACCTTAAATATTTTTTGAGTATTATTTATTGTGTACAAGTGGTACAAAGCTGTATCACTTTTCAACATAATCTCCCCCACGCTCAATGCAAGTCCTCCAGCACTTACGAAGTGCATGAATTCTTTTAGAAAAAAAATTCTTTGGTAGTCCGCGCAACCACTTATGCACCGCGTGGCGTACCTCTTCATCAGAACGCAACGTCTTTCCTCCCATTGCTTCCTTGAGTGGTCCAAACATATGGAAATCACTTGGGGCAAGGTCTGGTGAGTATGCCGGATGAGGAAGACACTCAAAATGCAGGTCATTGATTGTCGCAACTGTTGTACGGGCAGTATGGGGCCTTGCATTGTCATGTTGCAAAAGGATACCTGTGGACAGCAATCCACGTTCCTTTGATTTGATTGCAGGCCGAAGATGATTTTTTAGGAGATCTGAGAATGACGCACTGGTGACAGTGGTCCCTCTAGGCGTGTAGTGCTCCAAGATGACGCCTTTTTTGTCCCAAAAGAGAGTCAGCATAACCTTCCCTGCTGATGGTTTTGTTCGAAACTTCTCCGGTTTTGGAGATGAGGAATGGCGCCATTCTTCCTCGCTCTCTTCGTTTCCGGTTGGTGGAAGTGAACCCAGGTTTCGTCCCCAGTAACGATTCTTGCAAGGAAGTCATCACCTCGTTCAAAGCGCCGCAGAATTTCTTCACAAGCATCAATACGTCGGTCTTTCAATTCAGGAGTCAGCTGCCGTGGCACCCATCTTGCAGACACTTTGTGAAACTGGAGCACATCGTGCACAATGTGGTGTGCTGAACCATGACTAATGTTTAAACTTGCTGGAATTTCATTCAATGTCACTCGACGGTTTTCAACTGCTGCAGTTTTCTCTGGAGTCACAACTCGATGTGCCTGACCCGGACGAGGAGCATCTTCCACTGAAGCCACACCATTCGCAAACTTCATACTCCATTCGTACACTTGCTGCTGTGACAAACATGCATCACCATACTGAAACTTCATTCTTCGATAAATTTCAATAGGTTTCACACCTTCACTACACAAAATCCGAATAACAGAACGCTTTTCTTCCCTGGTGCAAGTCTTAAGTGGGGCAGCCATCTTATACTGGTGCTGTGACGGTGTTTGTGCATCTGCACTATGCTGCAACCTACAGACCATTCTGCCCGCAGTTTGTAGCACGCTTACCAACTTACAGGATAATGACGCAAAATTTCGATTTTTTATTAAAAATTTAAGGTTTTCATTTGACTCACCCTCGTATTATTAATTTTGGTGTTTTGAAGGTTTGAGAAATATTTTTACAGTTATTAAGTTGTCCCTTAAGCTCTCCATTGTATCAGCACTCCAAGGTCTATCATCTTCTTAGCAGTAGCCTGCGATAGTACCTCATAACTAACGTGTTCAAACTAGTTTAGTTACTAAATAACTACAGGAAATGATGCGTTAGCTCTAATTTTCTTGCATAAATTTCGAAATAATACCTATATGTTCTTAGGTCTGTTGTTCAAAGAAGGATTACTAGGATTGTAAAATTAAGGGCTGTAGAGAGATTGAAAGAGGCATGTAAGTAAGATAAACCTGTATTTAAATGTAAAATATTTATTTAGACTTTCAATTGGAGTCCAAATTTGTGTTCCTTTCTCAATGAATGAGCGTTCAGCTCTTAAATGCCCATACAAATTTATGGATACTGTCTACTCCAATTCATAACTAACATGTTTCTAACAGTATTTTTAAAACAATTGTTTTGAAGCAGAATCGCTTATTACACTTTTCCCATACCTTGCATCCTGTAGCCGACCGCGTACCGTAATTTGAAATACAAGCAAGAAGTTGACGTAAATTGGACGTTCGATTCTGCAGAGGGCAGTTGTTACAGTCAATGTATACCAGTAGTAGATGAATTAGCCAAATTAACGTACACAATTTCAGTTTGTTGAACTATTAAATTAATTGTTTTAATGACTTGTTTTGTTCTGATTTTCAGCCTTGCAAGTTCCACATAATTCTCCAAGGTTTCCAAGTGCTGACTTCTCTGGTAGAAAGTGGTGCATTACACTATTAATAAGTACATACTGTTACAACTTAAATGAGAAAAATTCTTAAGAAATGATTAATACGCATTGTTATCTTTTAACTATAAACAACATACTTCTGCTGCCTGCCTCACTTCCATATATTTACTTGCAAAATAAATTACTAATAAAACAGTACAATGAATAAAATAAGAAAATAAACTAAAACAAAAATTGCATTGCCGCTGCTGCTGTTGTTAATGAGACTATTACATAGTAAATAATAATAGAAAATGCTTCCTTGGGCCATATGCAAAACATCTACCTTCCTGCTTAAATCAGGCAATTTTGCATTCTAGTTCTGACATTTGTTCTCTATACCCACGGAAAGTTTAACTTATGTTTTAAACTGATATACTACAACTCAAAAATATAGCTATGTGGTCAGATAAGGTCGCAATTTCTTTCGTTTGAACCCACTTATTCTGTGTTACTGGGGTCAGGGTCCCCAAATATTGGAAGCATGAGCTTTTAAATTCTTGGCTTTGCAAGCAGATGAAGATATGTACCGAACGGTTATCGGTTGTCTGTTGAACGGTGCTCAAACACCAGCCAAATTTAAGCAGCAAGGTTTATTTTTTGACACAGTGCTCTATACTCATATTTTTAGTGAGAGCTTTTTTTGCTTTCCAATGACGTAAGTTATATATAAATAAATATATATAAGATTATGTACAGTTAAGATGTGTTCAAGTAAACATGTTAATGATGAAATGGGAAGGAAGGTTTAAAAATGATGTCATTGAATGAAGAGAAGGACAGAGATATTGGATACCGCTCACTAGAGGAACTACGAGTATCAGTTTGTGGGAATATAACATCATTAGGTACGTGAATGACAGTTGACAGAGATTATTTAAAATTTTGCTTTTTAAACAGAAGTCTCTTAACCTTTTGACGCTGGTAAATATTGGAAAATATGGAACTGTCAAATTATTCTTATTAGCTGACCAAAATAGACACTAACCCATACGTTTGTGGTCCTAACACTTGGACACCCGGCCCGTCTCAATATGTATTAATAATATATGCCACGAGCCAATACTATGTCAATTACATACTCGTAATAGTATTTGTCAACCAAGATTAATGACGTCATTCTTGCAACCCTCTCTTCTGCGAAATAACCTACCATATCTATGTACATATTGAATGTCTTGTGTTTTCATTTGTACATAATGGTAATATTGTCTTGAGTTACTAATAAAGACATGGTGGCCACAACCATATTGAAAAATTATTGTAATGAAAATCTATATTGCAACAATGTACATTTTGTAATGCTCATAGATTTCATAATTTAAAAAATATATTACTATGTAAAGCTACAATAATTATATGTTATTTAATGCGTAAGAATTGTATGGCATGGGAGGGATGTTTTATCAACGACTGTAAAAAAATGAAAATAGAATAACATAAAATATTTGTAAAATAGTGTATAAGGCCTCTTGGAGTAATTAATGCCCATTCTTGCACAGCTAAAGCAAACTGAATTATTTGTTTCCACAATCACGCTATATTCTGATTCTCACCACAAAAACAGTTGATTTTATATTTAACAACTCCCTGTCTCTTTCACACCCAATGCAACTGAAATTTCTCTCTTTACTTTCTACTCATTTCTTCTTCTGGTCTTTATTATTCGTTCTCTGTTCCATTCTCTCCTTATTTTATCTTTTACTCTTCTTTCCTTCGACTTCTCTTGTTTTCTGTCGCCTTCATTCTTCGCCCCTTCTTCTATTCTCCCTTTCTCAGCCACCTCTTCCTCCTCATTTTCTTCCTACGCCGTCTCATCTTTCTCTCGCTCTTGTTCTTTCATTCTTCTTTTCCTTCTCTTCCTACATCATCTCCTTCTACTCCCCATCATCTTTTTTCCCCATGCATCCCCTCCTTCTCTTCTTTGTTTTTCTCCTCAGTGTCTTGGCTCGCGCAATTGTGCGGTGAGGGCCCGAAAGGCTGTACTAACCGGGTCCAGTCTCAGTTCATCAGCAAGACAAAGCTACTCCTAAATCTCTAAAAATTATATCGTACAAAATTTACAACAGACTAACTTATAAAAGTAGCATATTCACTACTCTGAAAACATATCAGCTTATTTTTCTTAGTATAAGTGTGTATTTCTTCGAGACATTTCATTTTGCACGTGAACAAAGAATTAAGTGAATACTTCGTTGTTTCATGCTCTCTTGAGTTTTATCCCTTCAGAGATAACCATACTACTGAATAAAGACTCGAAGTATACGTTGTTTGAAGTTTCGGTATTATATTTCTTAATTCTTACAGTGGTGTAATGTTGGTTATTTTGAAAAAAGAAATGTCGTGAGAATTTGCAGCATTCTTTAAAATGTGTTCGTAACATTTTGTAATGTGACAAAATGTAATTAATACTTAATAATATGTGGTGTTCTTAGTATAACCATGAAGACATTCTAAAATATTTCCATATGCTGAAGGTGATTATGTAGCCCATAATATGGATCAGTTTTTACGAATAAGAGACATTTGTATCGATAGATGTAATTAACTTATTTACTAGGGTATATAACAAAAATACAGATCATCATGAAAAACGAAATTTCGGCTATGAATAAACTGAAGAGTCTCGTCTTCTGGGATATAGAATCTTGCATTCTTGGTGCATCCAAGCAGATATAATCTTCACAGGAAGAGCCTGAAATCCCGTGTAAATGCGGTGTTTCTAAGACCAAATTCTCTGTGGAAATTTATATTTTATAGTTAGTCTCCTACACAGAACTTAAATGAAATAAAATGCGCAATCGGTCAGCCCGACTTACTAGAGGAGCGTCCTGTTTTTCATTCTGAATACGCGTTCACAGAAAACCTCACTGTAATGTCACGTTTGAGAATAAGTCTCAACAAAGGTCAAAATCTTTTATAAATCTTTTGCTAGACACCACCGAAAATTCTGATTGCATCAAACTGTATGGCACTGAATGCCATTGCTGTACTGCTACCTTCTCCTTCCTATTTCCTTCCGGATAGTTTAAAAATCAATTTATTTTTTGAACACATTTTATTGCTTGACTTTCAATTGTTTACCGAAATCTTATAAATTATATAACCTACAATTTATCATGTCTTGGAAGCCTAATAGAGGCAGTCCTGCGTGATAAGCTACCTAACATCTCTTCAAATGTCCAGTCTTATGAACACTGTGTTTGAATGAAAATTAACCGACCATGGATGCCTTATCTTCGGTTGTAATTACCCTAAATTATTTTCCATTATTCCGTTATTCTTATGACAATTGAATATATAATAAATATGTATTTGACGCGTTGTGTTTTAAACATTTATAATTTTAATGACACGTGAAAGTGTCTCATGGCAAATATTTAGCTCCCACACGAACATATACACTTCAACTTATATTTATTTTATTTATTAATCCTTTAAAGACTGAATTTCTCCTAAACTATTGTCGCGTATCGGGCGTATATCGCGACAAATAACTTCTCTATATACAAAACCTCAGTCTGTACCTCACAGAAAACATATTACGTCTCTGCTACAAAAACCAACCTATTAATTATGTTTAAGGAAAAAATCGCTGTAGGCTATGAGAACCATAGGAAACACACAAATAAATTGTATAAGCAGACTGCAGAGTTCTGTTATGGTAAATGAGGTGGTATACAAATAGAATCACTGGGCTATGAAAGGTTAATATTATTTGGCGTATTATATTCTTGGCTCAGGACAACGAGTGTTTAATGGGTGGTGCCAATGTCCCTATCTTTAAAGTAGAAGTTAATATTTAGGCACTGTATTCCTCTGAAACCTTGGCACAAAACTACCAGGCAACACTCATGACACAGATATCCACAAAATGAATCTTCACCACCATGAAAACCTCAAATCTTATACTAGAGGGCTTGTGAACACGCAAACTTAATGAAAAATTTTGTCGTAATGACATCTGTTAACCAATAACCTAATTCAAGAAGTACATTGACTTTAAATGCATATTCCGAATGGCTGAAATGATAAAAAAATATTCCGGAACTCATCCCAAGTGATTCAGTCTGTAAATAAATATTAAGATACTCGTGTAATCAGTGTCCCTGCTGGTGTTTTATATTTGAATTTGTGTTTCTATAAATGATTTTATTTTATACTCTTCAAAATGAAAATAGTTGTGACTAATATAATTTTGTCTAGTCGACATAAATCAATTAAGAATAGTAACTGCTGTGTTACTGTGTAAAATCCTCTTCTTTCAATACAATTGTCACGTTCTTCCTTTCTAACTACTTGTAACAAAGCTGCTAAACTTACGACCCATCAATATGAATCCTTATGAGTTCTTTGCCGAAATTTATAAATTACACTTTAAAACTTGAACCTCGAGAACTGTATCTTTATAACAGACCGCAAAGAATTGGCGTATATATTGAAGACAAATTATCAAAACAACCCCAAACATTATAAGCCTAAAATATTGAAATGAATTAATATTTTTAGAACTCATGATTTTCGTCTAAAAAATTAGCAAGGAAACATATTAGCTTCGTATTAAATAATGAACCTGGTACAATTTTACACAAGACACTAGCACAGTCCAAAAAGTGGGGGAATTTTTTCGTATATCGACGTTGTTGGTCTCATGCGTCAGAGCATAAAACCCCGTATGTAAATCACAATAGAATTAAATAGCTTTATTCCTGCACCGTAAAATATAGTAACTGACTTCCACAAATAATTTTATATTATCAAATGAACAGAGACATTAAAATCCAAATTTTTCTAAAGCAGATAGAGAATTAAAATCTTAATTTTCTTTGACACTTACCGACAAAGCACGTTCTTTCCGAAATCCATTGTTAAAGGCTGAGTATTACTAGCATTATCTTTACGTTTAAATACAATTTAATTCTTAAATATGAAACTTAGAAATGTTTCCTTCTAACAGGGTCGAAGAATCTTTAATTTGTTACACACAGATATAGCAAGTGTCACGTAACTTCGAACAAGGCCAAGAGTAACCTTGAATGCGCAGAAGAAAATTTTCAGACAAGGGGGTGGGTTCGAGGGTGTGAGAAGTGACAGGCGGCCAGTTGTTTGTACATTCAAGGTTACTCTTGGCCTTGTGCGAAGTTACTTGACACTTGCTTTACCTGCTAACGGGTATGAATTCCATTTTTATGTACTATATAGCTTAGGAATTTGCATGAACCGTTTTCATTCAATATTGAAAACCGGCAGTTTCAAAATTTGAAGTTCTGTTTTGAAATGCAAGATATAATGGAAATAATTCATGGTTGCTTGGTAAAGAAGCTTTAAGTAAATAAATAAAATAAAACACATGCTTTGCAACTTTGCACGAGAATCATATCTCAACACCCCTTACCATATTTCCAATTATTACGCCTGTTGTACATATCTGATTCAGGTGACTGATAATGGAGGATACGCTTCGCGTCACTTGACAGATGTTATGCGCTGCTGTTTGTATCATGTTTCACTGCCTGGTATATGATGAATCACTTACAATTTAAGTACTCTCATTAGGGTTATACTCTCGCCATTAACCAGCCTGCGAGGTGAACAGAAACAAAATTAAGTAGAATGGAGGGTCAATAAGAGAGTAGGTGAATTACAGAAGGGGGATTAGCCTCACAGTAACTTAGATAAATTGCTTTTGTTTCTGATGTCGCTCACCTCTGGAATGATTATGGAACCTCTTGAGCTGAAGTCCTCTGAGCAATGATAGTGCGTATTTTGGAGAACTTACACTCTCTTGGTGCATTTGTATATGTCAGCAAGAAATATGGACTGTTTAATCTCGTAAGTTACAAAGGCCTTTAATATGCAGAATTGAATGGAAAATTTAATGGGCTAGAGCTTCAGTGACATAAGTTTGTTGTTCATTGGATTCCGTTCAGATA